AATCTTGGCATCACACTAGATGGTTAATTTCGAGAGTCATTTGTTGGGACAGGTTAGAAACTGCTTTTACCGCCTAAAAATGTTGTACAAAATACGTACCTAATTATGTAAATGAGCGAGTACGTATTACTCTCTCCGAATCTTTGATCCTTTCCAGGCTCAATTCCGGAGACATTGTTTATAATTCTCGTCTGTAAAGTAAAATCCAACGGCTGACTCAACGCGCACAGAATGCATGCTTGTAGATTTTGCTTTGCGATTCCCCCTCGTAGCCACATCACACCGTTCTTAAACAATGCAAATATGCTGAACATGAACTCAAGAAGGCAGTTGCATTTCGCGTGTATGTTGTTTGGCGTAGTGAAATTTCAGAAACCGGAATACCTGTATGAAAAATTATAGTTCTCCGCATTTCATGACCACCTATACCACCAGATCCGTACGGTCTCTGTTGGCGGGTCAAATTCATCGTACTGTACCATTTACGGGAAACTTTCGCTATCAGGCCACAAGGTGTTGGAATGATATTCCACCTCCACTTAGACTTCTCAAATCTAAGTCCACCTTCAAAAAGCATTTGAGGGAACTTATTTTTGAGAGGCAAAAGGTGGATAGCGACAGCTTCTGAAACACCAATTTGTAAAATTTATAATAATTAATTTTTTGTCCTATTTCTTTGTTTTATCCTTTTTTATATTGCTAGTTGGTTTTTTAAATTTCATTGTCGCCACACCCGTACGCTTCCGCCGACGCTTCCGCCGACACATCAACACAGACACACAACTACACGAAAACCCACTGCACGACTTACACATTAGTTACACGTTGCTTTTTGCTATTGATGCACCACACCGCGTTACCTTCTAGTATAGGCGATAGCTGAAGATCAGTGCGTTGCTTTTGGGCAACACCTGCATTGAGCTATGGCCTGTTTGGCTTGCTGCAGCACTCACAACTTGCTTTTAATTAATTAGTAGATATATGTTGTTTATTGTGTATATTTATTTGATTTCATACATTTTTGTTCTTTTGTATGTTTTGTTTTGAGTTTTTTGTCTTCTTTTTTTCGTTATTTGTTGTTTCATATTATTGTGTGTGCTTGTGGAAAGTCAATAAATGTATTCTGTCTATCTATCTAACAATATGTACACAACGAGTTAGGATTTAACTTGACAATACATTTTTTTTTAAATAGATCATCCGCAATAACATGTAATATACATGGCTGTATTGATTATAGTCAAATGTATTGATATAGTATGTATTAACAACCACCTTTCAGGTGTTATTTCAGACTGGAGGCATGCTACAAAGAGACGTATGTTACCTACATATCTTAATTGTTTCTTTTATTATTAATTTGTATTTTCTTTCATTGTAGGTATTGTATAATAGTCACCAAACGTGCCAGTAACAATTGCACTATTGGGATAATAAGACCACATCAAAATGCAAAAATGCAAGAAGCAAAATGACATCTTTTTATATTTTATAACTTTCACTTCTCATACTCTAAAGTCAATATACCTCACGTTCCATGTGTAAATAGCACACCTACCTAATTTTTTCATTTACTTCGGAGTGAACAAACTCAAACAGCCAGCAGGACGCTCGGTTTTAGTTCCGTGCAATGTCGTAATCGATGAGGTTAATTCAAGGTACGATTATATTATTTATATTGGTGGGATTATTTATTTATTTTTATTTAATAGCTTATTGTACAGGAAAAATACAACAAGTCACAAAGAATACAAGGGAAATTAAAAACAAAAGGTTCTGCTTATTTGTAATAGAAATTTCTTCCTGCAGACCTAAATATAGGACACTATAACTAAAATAACGGGAATATGTGCACAACAAAACAAGAAAAAAGAAATAATATAATAATATTAAATTGTTATAAATTATATAAATACTTAGATAAATACATTGTTTATAATATAATACCTAAGATGTGGATGGAATAGTAGATAAATAATGCTCTTTAACTCTCACTTTAAAAATTGCCAACGATTTACTTTCGTGAACAGTAATAGGAAGTGCATCCCAAAGTCTAACCGCATGAACAGTGAAGAAGTGAGAATAGAAACCGGAATTGAAGCATGGAAAAGATAACTGGGATCTAACAAGAGAGCGACAGGGTTTATCCTGGGACCTAAGGAAGCTGAAACGCTCTTTCAGGTACCCGGGAGACACAGGGTTATGTAAAATATTACAAAGAATGGAGACAATATGCAAATTCCTGCGGAAACGGATGGGAAGCCATTTGAGCTGACTGCGGAAATGTGAAATTCGGTCATATTTACGAATCCCAAAGATGAACCTTATACATAGGTTTTTGCAGTCGTTCAAGCTTATTTAGCAGTTCTTCAGTTCAGATTATATATATTAGTGGTTCAAAACTTTACCATATTAACGAAATATATTGCTATTTTAAAGAATATTTTCTACGAAAATCTATAATTTTTTACTCTTTTTTTTTTCTTATAATACAAGTGACGGGACGAACAAGTCGTGCGCCTGATGATAAGCTACACGCCTGTCCATAACAGTTGCAGTGCCACTCAGAGCTTTAAATCGCAAAGATCTGAGAGGCACTGTCACCCTGAGGCATAAGTTGACAAGTCCCATGTGCTTGTAATTTTACCAGCATCCTTATTCTTCAAAAACCGAACACAGTAATGCTTCTTCATCTTACCCATTGCTGAAATAGGTAAGATGGCAGTACTTCCCTGGACGAACTCTTTCACAAGGAGCTCTACTGCTGCTGAAATCTCACCTGATGGAAAATGACGATGAAGGTCGACGATGTGGCATGCACACCTAAAAATACCTATTCACTCTGGCCTTGAAAGGTCCAAGTTATGGCGTTTCGGGGAATAAGTCCTCAGGCAGGGAATTCCTCATTCTAGCCGCTCGCCATATAAATGTGTATTTTTCTATGTCTGTGCATTTCAATGCACGTGATTCAAATATAGAAATCTTGTAAAAAAACATCACTTACACACACTCAAGATTATTACTCCTGCATCTCCCGCATCCTGTCAACCAATACCCCATAAGTCACATTTCCTTTGCGTTACAAACAAAAAACGTCAAAACACAAAACATGTGACATCGTTATCCCAACATTCCTATTTTGAAAATAAATACGCAAATAGGAAATCGGAAATGCGTAAAGTTTCTGGTTTTGCCAGGTGGTAGCTAGTGGTATTTTTGTGATAAATGTGGCTTAAATATGGTATAATTCCCAAAGGTTCAAGTTGAACGTAAGAACCAAAACATTGCTGTAATACCTTATTATCACTTTTCGGTCAGTTGATATAATTATCACAAATAGTACAAATTCATTACCTCACACTCTAATTATTATTATTTTCTCATATTCTTGCTCCGTTGTTAATAAATGCTACCTAGTTCTAGCAATAAGGCCGAAAGTTGTACTTGTCTTTCGTGTATTGTTTTTTTTGTTATATATTTGTTCTTGTGTGCAGTAAAGTATACTTGTATTTAGTGGTAAGTAGTAGTAGTGTGGTAGTAGTAGTTCAAATACCATCCCATCTGATCCCCAAAACTGATCCACCGCCAATTTTAAATTGCAACTGATCCCCTCTATACACTGTATTTGTGAGATGAGTACAGTCAAGAGAAAAAGAAGTTTTGAAATCAAAGTTAATGCAATTATAAAAGTTAGCACGTTTAATGTTGTTCATTTCTAATAAACTAAATAAAATACAGCAGAACCCTCAAATTCATTTTCTTGTTTACTGTACCACAGTACCTACCAAAAATAAACTTGTAAGTACCAGGGTATCAGGTGGGAATAAAATATTAATATTTATTCTTGATCCCTTGCATTGCGGCTCCGATGGGAAAAGAAAATAATTTAAAATAAAACGGATCCCCCACGGGATCAGTTTTAGGGGATCAGATGGGAATAATCCGATTCAAAAAGGTACGTAGTGTAGTGTAAAAGTATAAGTGTGGTAAAGTTTGGACCAGCCCCATCCCATGTTAATGCCAATCGTCGTTTGACTATTAAAACCTTACACTTTTTAATTGAATTCAATTTGAAATTTCCAGAGAGGTAACCTTTAAACAAATTTATTCGGTGCATAAAACATGAGGTTTTGAAATTTATCAGTAGATGTCTCCGTAAACATAGTACACATTTCAGGTTTTAACGGTTAATAAATTGTATTGCATTATTAGCTGAAAAATTCAATTTTGAAAAATAGTTGACACACGAAGTTTTCCTATATCTATGGATTATCATAGTAAGGTGACGCAATAGAAAATACTCTTATAGCTATAGAATTTAATTTTTGCATCGCAATTGCTTTTTAAGGTATTATTTTTTTACCTGTGGCAAAAAACAGAAAATATTTTTTTATAATTATTAATACAAAGATCGAACACTCAGAAAAAATTCCTTCGATCCGGTCGGATTCGAACCGACGTCTTCTTGCATACCATGTCAGATGCTATACCGACTAAGCCACGGAACGATTATATATTAATAATTATAACAAACTAGTGGAATCATTTCACAAAAAAGTAATTGAATATCAATATTGAATTGAGAAAAATATTGAATTGAAAAATTTAGAAATAGTTATTTGTTCAACAAGAGAGCAAAGTCGTTTTTTGGTGCGAGTGCTGTTTTTGAGTCCTGAGCAAGCGAAAGATTCTATAGTTGAATCACGAGCGTAGCGAGTGATTCAGAATTAGAATCTTGAGCGAAGCGAGGGACTCAAAAATACGAGCTGCAAAATAACTTTGCTCTCGCGTGATACATACAACTTTTCACCTCAGCAGCGAGAACATATATATATACTAAAGGGACAAGTAATAAAAACACGTCATGAAAGCAAATGCATCATTGTACATTTACAAAAATACAGAATTTACAAAAAATTAAAAGTGGAACGTGAAGTTTGTACAATTCTGTAGATTAAAAGTTACTGTTTTATTTGGAACAGTAATCGTCGTAGTGTTTGCTACTTGAGTAGTGGTCGAGGTTTCATTATGAGTTGAGCTGGATTGTGACCCTTCCCGCACCGTAAAAGTTGGTGATTCTGGGCGGGTTTGGGTATGATTCGCATCACTGGAGGTGCTAGGTTGTGCCCAAGAATGCGAAGTCTGTTTTAGGTTTATCGAATCTATCTATTTATCTATTAATCTATTTATATAATCGCTTACAGATTTTTGATTTATTTTCTATTGAATCTTCGATATATCCTTCAGCCACTGTATTTGATCTCCAACCGCCATGGCGCTTCAACGTTGTGAGGTCAGCTCCTCCATCTGCCAAAAGAGTGGCTGATGTTCGCCTGAAGCAGTGGCCAGTGTATAGCTGCGGCTCTTTCAAATCTAAAAATGTTGCGATTTCTCGTGCAGTCGCTCCTATTTTATTAATACCCATCGGTTGCCGCGTACATTTTCCATTAGGATATTGTATGAAAAAGCGGTCTGTGATCGTATTGGGAGGGCGCAATGCTTTATATTTCTGGACAACGTGTGCGTATTCCTCACGGACGACGAACGACCTGTCTATATTTGTTTTCGTATTTGGCAGGTTAATCAAAAGAAGGTCGCTGGAATGTTGTTCAATGGCATTAGGAGTTAGATTCAATAACTCGTTGGAGCGGCATGCTCCGTTTATTCCAATGATAAGGATGACCTGAAACATAAATAAAACGTCAATAAGTATTGTGTCTTTTAGAGCAGTCTTAAACGTGGATTTCTCATAATATGTAGCGTTATTTTTAACCATAAAGTTCCAATACAAGTCGCCAAAACAACACATTTAAGTAGGTAAGTATAATTATGTTGATAGAAATTGATAACATAACTACCAAAGTCCAAATTGTATTAACAATTAAAATATAACGCTACGACAACAGTAATAATATTCGATACTTACTTTTGCGGCTAGGAAAGTGCAATCTGGAGCTTCATTAAGAAATTTTTCAATATTAGCAGCCGTGAAAACTTTCGATTTTTTTGATTTGTGGCCGACGGCCGATCTTTTCAAAAACGCAATCAGCTTTGCGTAAGTGTTTATATGGACGTTATTTTTAGTTTGTAATGTAGCTTTCAACATCGAATATATACTCCACATCGTTGACGGCTGTTTTGTATGCGACATTTCAATGAAATAAGACAAAAGCACAGTTTCCGACATAATGTTTCCTGCGCCCTTTTCGTGCCTCCATTTGTCAAAATGTTCGTAGACTTTCAGGTACTTTTCACGAGATTTACTAGGCAAGAAACTTAGTTCAGCATTTTTAACAGTTTCAACTAACTCTGGAGGAGTTAAAAAATTGTCGTCTTCACTGGAATCGCTCATATTTTCTATTTTATTACGTAGGTAGGTATCCAATTAACTATCAAAGAAGTACCTATCGCAAGCAAATAAGAAATTTTGAATTAAAAAAAAAAGAAAGCGCGCTTTTATTTATTGCGTTCCGGAACGTTCTCGCTTGTATTCATTGAAATCACACATTGTAAATATTGTTATCTTTAATTGACGTTATAAATTTAGCATATTTTTATTGCAACACTTGCTTTATTTTTAATGAAAATTGTAAAAACTAAATTATCATAGTATAAAATCGTATTTGTATTTCTCACATAATTTATCTTTTAGATGAATTGACGAGTTTCCGAACGTGCACTCGTTCAGCCATTTTGTGGGGGTCTACTATGTAGCTTAAATATCGAAGTACGAATAAACCATAATTTTCTTTTTCCTTTTTCTTGTAATGAAGTGAAAGGGACGGAGCGACTGATTTTGAAATATGTCGAATTTGTATTAGACCCCTTCGCATTAAATGACAAGTCTCCACTTAAAAAGCAAAAAGCTACTTTTTCTCACGGAGTGAGCAAAATAAGATTTTGCTCACTGATTTCACACAGCAAAATAGCCTTGTTCGAGCTGCTGAGGTGAAAATAGTTTTATCTATAGTTTTTATAAAAGTTAGAGTGAACGAAAGGTATTACAGTGTTTACACGAACTAATTTTTATGTAAGTCTTACGTTAGGTATGTTTCCAATTTCTTAATTATCTGTTACCTTTTTAAGCTGTCGGCTCTGTAGCCAATGTGTGACTGAGAAAAAAAATTTTGTAATGGCGGGACAAATTGGAAAAGGACGATTATTAGAAACTTATATTTTATTCAAGAATTTTTCTTTATTGTGTATACACAATAATCTTCTTATTATAGCGTATTCAAAAAGTAACCTTGCCTTTTATCAATATCCAAGGTCTACTCACAAGGTCACGCGATGGGAACGTTGAAGATTATCTAAGGCCCAAGCGACCTAAATGATAGAAGTTATTTTTAACTCAATTCAAAAGAAGTCATGTGTTTCCTCCGTATGTGAACATGACATGAATATAGGTGGACATTTTTTTCGAAATCTACTTGACAGTAAAGTTTTCTTATCTTAAATTTATACATAATTTGAAGAAAGAAAGAATAATAATAATAATAATAATAACTTTATTTATAGCCATTACAAATACTATAAAAATAATTACAGTAATATGTTTTAAGTAATTGATTGGTTGCTAACCAGCCAGGCAACATCCAGACCCCACAAAAGGATTCAACCTGTGTTAGCGGATAGTACTGCTGCCACCACGGCGGGAAAGCATCAATCTAAGTTGTAACAAACAAATGGCTTAAAAGTAAACTAAATAAAACTCTGTAGTCCCAAAACTAGTACAATAAGACTGTTCTTTTGGGACTAAGACTTTTGGGAAGACTTTTGGGAAGAAGAAGTTTGAAGAATTATACATAATTCTTTGAATTACGTAATCGTAATTTTATAGGAATAACGATACCAGGCGTCTGGATAAAGCCGGACGTAATTTTTCAGATGCTTGTCCGATCAAATTATATATTGTCCGGTTTGTCCGGATTTTGTTAGGCTTTTTATATTTTGACCACGTGATCATTCGGGCGAGCGGGGCGTGTCGATGCAATAATAACAAAGAAGACTGATTTATTCAATTTTATTGTTATTCCATTACAATTTAAGATTTTTTTTGATAAATTATCTAAAACGACTTGTTTTAAGTATTTATTTTAATTGTATTAAAAACAACGACATAAAATCATGAAGGCGTGAAGTTAAAAGCGTGAAGTATCCGGCCTTTTTACATAGATGTCCGGTTTGTCTGATTGGTATATCCGGTTGTTCCGTTTTAAGACCTAGCAACCCTAGATGTGAATGTTTCAATACACAATTGAATAAATATTTCAGTCAGGAAAATATTATAAGGTACTTTTTTTTTAAATTACTAGATAGTCGCTTTAACTTACCGTCGAAATTTTTTTTACATTCTGTATTTACTCAATACACCTGCAAAGAAAGTTATTTTTTTCCAAAATCGTAAATTAAAAACCACAGAACATCTGTTGTGTTAAACGGAAACTGTTTTTGTTGCTACCGCAGCCCACGCCACGATTTCCGTTATACATTATTATATAGGTCAATATGTCACAAAATACTATCGAATATCTTTTTAAACAACAAAAGAACGATAAGTCGATAAAATTATATTATTATCCTCTTTTATAGACTCTGTCTGGACAGAAACCCCTGGGGGTAGTAATGTAGTTTTAAGGCCGTTAACAATGATTAATTAAATCAGTCCATAGTATGATCGTCACATGATTTTTCGTAAACCTGTTAAATTGCGTTAAAGAAAATACATTTTTTTCTTACTAGCACAAAATGTATTTGTGTTAAATGTTACATTGTTGTTATTTTATTTAGTAGGTACTTTATTTTCTCAACTTTCATTTAACACCAAAATTTTAACTGTGTGAATTTGCGAATCCAACTCAAATATAGTTGAAGTACTTGTGTATACTGTAAGTACTGTAAGTAAAAAAAGTTTGTTAACTATTTGGTATAAATAACACAATTTGGTGAAATATTACTGCGCACATAGTTCATGAAACAAAACTAAAATTAAATAAAACGTAATAAAGTATCTATAGACGCTTCTTATTAATTTATTGAACTACGAAAACAAACAAAAGTAAAAGGCGGCAAACAGTTTTCCGCGACTAAAACTCCTGCGCACCGGAAAGTGCTCCGTTCATTTCCCGCCATCCGGCGTCTCGACCAACCGAAATTTGGCGCCTAAAATTCTTATAGCCAATCAGACAATAGGCCGCCATTTTCTACCAATCAGCAACGATCCCGCGCTCTCGCCATCGCGTCTGTCATTTCTTGAAAATTAGTACGGCAGTGCAGTGAACCCCGACGGTAAATTCACGATTTTTCCGTGAAAATATTACATAAAAAGTAAATGGTAAGTGTTTGTTCTTGATTTTTCTTATTTCGCATGTAGTTTTACGGGCTCTACCGACTTTTCCAGCCAATTTTTACAATATTTCGCAAAGATTTCACAATTTCTCTGAAAAAACGGATAATGTTGTTGCAAAAATACGTCGACTTCAAAATAAATTTAGCGAAAGAAAAAATAAATTTATTTTGTTAAGTTTTCATATTTTTTTCTCAATGCGTAATTCTAAGACAATAGTTTTATAATATTCGATTTCAATCGCATCAATCCGAATCTAGGGAGTTCGTTTCGGCAAAATGGCGGCGAGGTTATGTGCTATTAATATATTTTCCGTCTCTTTTAAATGTTCCCATCACGCCTAAGGCAGAAAGAGACAGCTATCTTTCAGATATTCAATTTTGAAAAATGCACACGTCACAAGACACGTCTTCGTTCTTCATAAACAAGACTATAGGCCTGTGTTGCAAGTTAATGAATTTTTGTCTAACAGCAATTAATGGAAAAATTAACACTCCATTAAAAGCTGTTTAAAACACGACTTTTAGTCACACTCTATTGTTTTACGATTTCATAATAATATACTTATTTTCCATAAATACATATTTTTTCTTCTCTTGTCCATCTAAAATGTAAACAAATCAGACAATTGTTTCATACAAAAGATTTATAATTAGTTAAAATAAACAGTGTGTACGTAATAGTTGTAATTTCATTCAGTAAATTTCTGTTTATCAAGCCATGGTAAGTTAAGAAATTAGTTGAAAGCTTAATGTCCGTAGGTACTAAATTGAACTGGCATCGCATAACTCCTATCAAACTATTTAATTGCAGTGAATTATTCAATTTCTATTATTTTATTTCATCTAATTAGTGCAATGGATATTACAGTAAATATATATAATTTATTTACATTCGTAACTAAAATACATATATTTATTGAATTCATATTATTGCGCGGTGTTAGTTATGGACCTGTGTAGTAATAGTAAAAAACGGGAAACCGAAACAAATCTGTGGTCACACTAAAAAGTCACGCTGCTAATACTAACAACAGCGGCAGCGCCACGCGGCGTCGAGCAGCGGAACCAGTTCGGTTCGCTTGGGTCGCGTCGTGTGATTCAGCCGCCCGCCGCCGCGCCGCGCCTCACCGCACCTCGCGTCTGACGATCGCAAAGTCGCGCACGCGCATAGCATCGCAGTCGACAACTAAACTCTTGGCGGGCGGACGTATTACGTCACGACGCGTCGCGCCGCGTCATTACGACTTGTTTACGTTGACTAAACTTATCAGAATTTGTATTCTTATCAGTGCGTGATGGACCAACATCCTACTCGCGTAGTATTACACAAATCTCACGTATCTCTGAACTAATTTTCGATATTGTTTGCGCTAGGTGAAGGCGTCGCGGATGCTATCGGAGAAGTGCGTGCGTGTGTTTGGTGGAGGACTCACAGACATGTCGACTTTGAGTGTAAGGGCTCCCGGGCTGCAGGCGACTACAGTGCTGGACACGAGGTCATTACGGGTGCGGGGTGTGACGGCGCTCGAAGGCGTAAGGAGGAATTTGTTCGGATGTACTGACCGGGAGGAGAATAGACGATTTGTGGAGCGAGAGCTGTCGAGGCAGTTGGAGATGGACAGTCAGAGATGGGGTTTTGACTTTGCGAATGAGAAGCCCTTGCCGGGAGCACAGAGATTCATTTGGCAACTCGTGCCGGCATCGGCAGTGCCGTCGGCGCTGCGCCGCGCGCCCATCACCATTGCACCGCCCAAGCCCAGTGCACCCTCTCAGGAGAGCAAAGTATCGAGCCCAGAAAGCAGTAAAACACAGAAGAGAATAACAGGTTAGTACGATTCAACTTTACCTGTACGTTGTAGAATTTTTGTAAACAAATCTTGTCGCGCGAGCCCCAACTTGTTTAATTATATTGATTGTTGGAACAATTTAGACGACTTATGTTTTATACATGTATAAAACACCTGTACTAAACAAATTATAAAACCAGTAAAATCCTACGTATTTACAAAGACAATGCACTAAGTAAGACCTTTTCGACTTTGATTTCTTCAAACATTTATTTTGATTTAGTCACTTCATCCTTTGTTTTTTGAATTATGATTTTAAAAACGAGTTAAGAGTTAATTTACGACATGTGAATTGATAACACCCGGACAAACAAGGTCACTTTGTACAAATGTGACTGACTTCACGTTAGCAACAGAAACTGCAGATGCATTACACGCGTCATTTTATTGCGCATATAAACGAGCGCGAGCGTTCTTTAAAAATAGAACAAATATTTTGGCTATGCTTCGAAAAAGGAGAAGTAATAAAACTTTTAAGAATTTATTTTTTTTTTACTTTGTTCAGACAGCGTTTGTGCCAATGACTTAAAAAACTTCTATAAATTCATGCGTTACACAGTTAATTGCAAGAAACTGAGTATGATGAAAATAATGCTAAAGGTGTATATTCGTATTATTTTGTAATTAACCTACTTCGCAATATCATTGTCAGATACATACAATGTATTTACTATGCTTGTGGCTAGACAGAACGGCGTCACATAATAACTGTGTAATACCTAACGCAGTTATTACCTAGACAACATACTGTAAACATTACTCAATTTACAGTAAAGTGTGCTCATTCGGTTTGTTGTTACTATTTAAACACGTACATAATAGAAAAATGTTAGCCTTTATAAACTTGTTATGCATAACATTTCGTCGGGGATAGTGTAAAAATCCGCGTGTCATAATTGGTAAAAAACGCGTATCTGTACTAAACCAAATTTTACAGGAGAGGGATTTAACGTTATTAATATGTTATATCAATGGCTGCGACTTACATTTTTGCACAGTAAGCATTAATTTATGTTGTCTACGGACTGGTAACAATAGATTTCCGTAAATCACGCTAATTTTATTTGGCCACTAATTTTCCGAAATGGAAACTCATAATCCAATTACCGACGATTTATTATTATTATTATCATTAATTCTCCAATTATTTCATCTCTAGTGTTCTTGTTTAAATTAATACACATATATTATGTAACTATCATAAAAGGCGAAGTAAGCGATGAAAAAGCAAGAAAAAGCAAGTTAAAAAAATTGACGAAACAATCCGCGATAGTGACCCGTGAAGTTGTTTTTTATTTGTGATATGTCAAATATTTATTTCAAATTATCACAATTTATCGCAAATTAAATACTGTCTTAACTCAAAATTGTGGAATTGAGAAAACACAATTTGAAAATTTTTATAAATATATTGAATGGATCTTATTGCGAATAACAGCCTCCGTTGACGAACGGTTACCACGCTGGTCTACAACGTAGAGGTCCCAGGTTCGATTCCTGGGCCGGAAGAAATAATTGTATGGCCTACATTTATTTCTTTCGTGAATCTGGGTGTAATTTAAGATTGTCTATGTGTGTGTCCATGGCACCCGCGACACAGAATTTCCCTAGTGCAATAATAATAACGCACACAGGCATAGGCGTGTGTGCGTTATTATTATTATTATACGGAATACTTAATTGTACATTTCAAGTTTTCAGATTTCAAGTTTTTGAATTTTGAATAATAAATCTCGAATGGTGGTAATTTTAATTAATTTGGTTTAGAAATGTTAACAAAGCACAGTTATAAACTTTTATATTCACACAAAAAATATTTGAAATTTCTTTTGCTATGAAGCTAAACGATATATTCAAAAGCGTCTAGTAAGTAACCTATAAAAAGAGGACTGCACACGCTGGTACAGCGTCATATTTAAGAGCCTATTACGTGTTTGCTGTCATGTTAACCCGACACCAATTGCCAAGTGTGCTACCATCGAGCTAAAGCCGAGATCTTACGTCGGCCAAAATAACCTATAATATACTGTTTAGTTATACCTAATCAATATTTACGTCTATTTAAACTATGCATTAAGTTATCTATATAGCATATTTTTTTAGTTTCTGGTTGGAGTATAGTTTTCATACTCGATCATACTGATAAATACTCTTACTACAGTCATTAATCCTCGACGATCCAATGGTTTCTACTGCGGGCGCTAGATGAGGAGAATGAACTTTTCTAAATTGTTTCTGGTCTGGGTTTTCTTTGAGTTCCCTAGTTTGAAACCAGGCAATTGGTCTAGTTTTTGGGCACATTATTATTATTAATTGAATTCCGTACATGTTTACATGGAAAGTTAATTATTGTAACAAACACGCAGTCTGCAATATGACATTTTTTTGCCATCATCGCAAACGTGCCATACTTACATCCTCATAACTCGCAGTTTGGGCCATAATTGCCACCCTTGTAATTGGACCTTCGACGCCTCATGGCCACCGTGCAAATATTTTTTGTCCATCAAGGTGTTAACAACATCATAAAGGACCCTAAACTTTCTTTTATAAAGTAATTGTCGCACACGATAATTAAAAATTAAGATTTAATAGATGTGTTCTTAGTTAATTTTTAATGGAGTTTTTTCTTGGTGTTAATTAAAGAAGGGTTGTTTAACTAGTTATTATATTGTTTTTTCGAGTATGCCCAAAAACTTCTTTCATAACTTGTTACGTACCCCTTACGTAATCCGAATTTACTTGTTGTTTAGCTAACGAAGCATAACTACCGCAAGTCATACAGTGTGTTCGCTGTGTCTAGATAAAACGATTTGACCTAGATAGTTGTTTGTTTTGTTTAGCACATGTTCTTGACTTCGCCGTGCCTCCCACTATTGTCCCATTTTAGCTTCTACACATGTGACAGAAACGCGAATATGTTTGTTACAAACACATTGTTTTCTACTACGCCATTTGAAAAAAAAAACACTCGTAGGTATTTTTTGTGACCTACTTGTGATAATTTTTACATGTGATAATTTTATAATTTTATTTTATATGTTATCATTGTGATATGTTATAATTATTCCAAGACGACAGTCGCTCCACTAGGATATTAAAAAAAAACACTAACTCATCGCAACAAAAAGGGCGTATTTTAAAACTTTATAACTAAATTTAGGTTAGGCGTACCTGCCACACCTACGAAAGCAAATATATGAATGAAAATAAACATGAATGACTTCGACGCATGCGCAGATTTCACACGTAATGGCGGCTTTCTCCGTCAAACGGCTTTCTCGTATCTTACAACTCAATTATTGTTCTTTTACGAATAAAAATTAAAAGTAACGTGTTTTTGATATTTTCTGTGTTAACAATTTCCAAGCTAATCTATTCGGTTACAAAGTCTTTAGTCAAATAAGTACTGACCTACATACCTACATTAAACACACATTCTTTGTACTCTGTTTTTCTATAACAGTCGGTGTACCTATGAAGATTAATCACTGTATTGTACCTGCCTTAGAATCGAGGAGCATTTTTTGTACCTTTCTTAATAATACGAACCTGTACTGAGCCACTTGCGCGACAATGGGCGTTTTTTTGCTATGGATATCGATATTTTCTCTATAAATTACCGCAGCCATCTCATCAGGTATTGCGTTTGTGACTATCTTGTTAAAGTAGTACACCATGCGTACTTATCTGCAATTTTTGTTATCTTGGTTATGATTTATAGATAACACACGGGCGTTGTTATTCTATTTCTTTAATACATTTTAATTCTTGTATTTGCCATTTGGGTAATTTTCAGGTTGTTTGCCTCTACCTAATTTCGGTGGCAATTTTTATTATTTAATATTCTAGTATATTTTTTTGAAATATTAACAGTATTTTGTAGTAAGTAAATAGGTACGAGATTTTAAGACCTAATTATGTAATAATTGCATACAATACTTTTTGTACGAGTAAATTCATTTTTTAAATAAAGGTTTATTATTAGGCCTTGTTGCAAGATCTTTAGGCCAATTTAACTAATCAGGTTGCTTGTGTAGCGTCATATTTGATATTACTTAGCAAAAATACGACGTTCCTTTCTTGAAACTCGCTATATATCAGTGCACAGAACTATAATACCTATTACAGTACTGTGTGCAGAACTATATTTAAATTTTTCAGTTCGGTAGCGAGTACCATAGACAATAGAATTTAGATTCCGAACTAAAAAGAGCGGCTTTGTGATATGGTTTATGAAATTTTAATTAATAGATTAAAGCACAGGAGTACAAAAATAATATTTCAGGTTACTACACTATAATACTTTATAATAATATTCTACAATGAAAATTATAATCTGCCACCAAAATTAGGTAGAGAAAATTAACCTGAAAATGACTCTTTTCTGTCTCAACGCTTTGTGTACTGCAACTGAAGTGATGTAAGTAATAGAGCTCAGTAAGATTATGATCATTACAAAAATTTTAATAAAAGTGACCCTTCTAACACATTGCCCTAAATATTACTTAATTTTCAGCAGATGTGACATTCTAATCGCCTTCTAAGAGTATTCTAAGGACTCTAAAGAGCTTAAGGGTCAGGATTTTCATTGTTCGAAACTGACCACCCGTAAAAACGAAGGTAGGGGGTCCAAAAACAACCGTGTCACCTAATTTCTCAGGAGTACGTAACTGCATGTAATTGCACCTTTCAAGGGGTCATTGCTCTTTCGAGTTTTGTATTTCCCTGAATGTAAGTGGACTCCACCGCGGGGTTTCTGAGTATGAAAGCAGTTGTTAGATTCGATATTAGAAATTGTTGCAATTCTCAAGGACCCTCGTAAGTTATATGCGGTCAATTTTTGTTATTTCCGTTGCTATTTAAACTGGTTTTTAACAGCTGTACAAATAGCTTTTGGTACTTATCGTTTACTCGATATAATTTCGGACATAAAATCGGATATCTTAATTATCATCTGTCCAAACAATAATAAAAC